TAATGAATCTCTTTGGTTGTTTAAAACCTCAGTTAAATGATGAAGAAATAACTAATGATAAAAGTACTTCAAAAAGAAAATGGAATGTTGTTAAAGGATTTTTGATTGGACAAACAATTAGTATTATTAATGCATCAACTTATGCAATGACAAATTATTTAGGGCAAAAATCTTCTAGTGGAACAGCTATTATACAAACAATAAGTGTATATTGGTCATTACCAATTATATTAATATTAGTTTCTTTAAAATATGGATCAAACTCAATAGTAGAATTTTTGAAATCAGTAAAATGGTATTATTGTCTTGGAATTACATTCTGTGATATAAGTGCAACATTTTGTCTTGTTATTGGTATTCAAAATACAAATATATTATCATCACAACTTATTAGTGTTTGTGGTATTCCATTTGTTATGATTCTTTCATATTTTATTTTAAAACGAAGATTTAATTTAATTCAAGTATTTTCAGCAATAATCGCATTATCTGGATTTATCCTAGTTTCTATTGCTGACGGTCAAAATGGTTCATCAGAATTAATAGGTGATTTACTTTGTCTTATTTCAACAATTTTATATGCTATTGCAAATACATTACAAGAAAAAACAGTCAATATTATTTCTCCATTTTCTTCAATGAATTATATTATAATTTTATCTGTTCATGCTCCTCTTCTTTCACTTCCTACTTTACTCCTTTTATTTTTCTTTCCTTTTGATTTTAATATTTCAGTAATTGAATTAACATTATTAATAGCTTATCCACTTCTTCAAGTAATTATTTATGCATCAATAGCTTTTATTATTCTTATGACATCTGCAGCATTTTTTAATATTTCAAATCTTTCATCTTCGATTTATGGATTAATTTATGATATGATTTTATTTAACAAATATCCAGGTGTCTTGTCAATCATTGGAGCTTTATTAATTATTCTTTCAGTAATGCTTTATTCATTTATTGAATGTTTTTAGTAAAGTTCTAGTATTTTTTATTAATACATTTATTTATTTACTTTCTCTTTTTATCATTTTGTTTTGTGAAGGGAAAAACCTAAATTTGAAGTAGAAAGGGAATAGATATAGACAATAACAAAAATATAAATCTAAAAGTAGAGAGCGGAATCTTAGAAAAGCAAAAATGGCTGACGACATACCAACAGACCAGTTTTGTTGTATTGTTGGTTGTATAAACCAAGGCAGTGTCCCACTTAAAGAAGTTGAGGGAACATTTCAGATTAAAAATGAGTTAGTCAATACACGTCCAATAAAATGGAAGTTGTGTGATATTCATTTCAACTCAGCTATAGAAAAGATGGGGTGTTGTGTTATAGAATGTAATGAAAAGGCTTCTACATTTACTCTCCCAGAATATGAAATTCATAAAAAAGATGATAATGTAGCACATAATCATATTTGTCTTAAACACCATATTCAAATGACTAGAAATACTCTTAAACCAATTAAAAGACAATCAGAAGAACCTGATCAAAAGGAATTGCCATTAAAAAAACGAAGTAGTGATAATAGTGATACGGTCACTGATGATACAATTACAACTGAATATCAAAATGGAATTGTTGTTGAAAAAAAAAATATTAAAAAAGAAATAATAGAAGATGGAACTACTTTAAAGTCAGAAGAATCTAAAGAAACAATAACTCCAATAAATCAAACTGAAAACAATGAGAGTATACAAACAATTAATGATAAAAAAGGAAGTCTTGATATAAAAAAATGTTGTTTTTCTTATTGTACTGAAACTGCTATTGGAACACTCAAATTCATTCATCCACTTCAAATTCCGGTGTGTTATACTCATCAAAAAATTATTACTAAGTTGCTTAGAAAAGCATTATTAGATCATCAAATAGTTTTATCTACTTCAACTAATGAAATGATTGCTTCATGTTCATCAATTCATTTTCATCCATTATCTAATTATAAAAAAATTGGAAATGATGGAAGATGTGCATTGTGTTTTGGGTATAATAACAAGAAACCAATTTATATTTGTTCTTCTTGTAGTAATGTTTTTTGTGCAGAATGCCAAAGGGTTATTGCTGAAATAACTAAAACAAATATACAACAACCATCTACACACTGGAAGTGTTGTGTTTGTTGTACAAAAGGAATAAGAGAACGTGAGGATGTGTTAAGGAGAGAAGTTATTATTGTTAGAGAAGCAGCAAGTAAAAGACTTAATATTTTTATTCAGAAAGAAGGTAAACAAGTTCAAGAAAAAATACAACAAGAAAAAGAAAGAAGAATAGAAAAGATTGAAAAAAGAAAAAAACAAATCAAACGTATAATTAAGTGGTTTGATATGGTTTTTCCTAAAGCTGTTCAATTAAGATGGAAAATCCCAGATTGTACTTTAGAAAATAGTCCAAGTGAAGGTTGTTTATTTGTATTTTCTAAAACACAAACAAATTATTTTATTTCACATCAACCAATAACTGGAGAAACACTTATAGAAACACTCCATTCTATTGCTGAATCTATTAATAAAAGAATTATTAAAGAAGTAGATAAAACAGTTCCATTAAAAAAATTATTACTTGTTCATAGTAAAGAATATGTTGATATTCTTAAAGAAATTTTTAGTCAACAAGATGAAAGAACAATAACCATAAAACATTATCTTAATACAATTTTATCTGAACAATCATTTCAAAATGCTCCGTGTTGTTTAGCAGAATTTTATCTTCGTGTTTCATTAGAAATAGCACAAGGAGTTTGTGAATCATTAGAATTTCTTTCAAAAAATAAAAATATTAAATTTGCATATATTTTTACAGGAGCAAAAGGTGGGGTTGTTCCTTATCAAGGGTCACTTGAAAAAAAAGAAGGAGGAAAAACAGAAGATAGTAAAATTGTAATTAAATTAACTCCTGATGTTAAACTTAATGAACAAAGTAAGCCTATTGTCATGATTATGAAAAAAAATCCTATGGAATTTCCAAATGGTATACAAGCTAAAATACCTGCTGATGTTATAATGTCTTCATATTTTATTAATTATATTGGACTAGGAGTAAAACATGCACTAAAAGTAATAGGAATAAAAAGAATTGCAGTCGTTGTATTAGGAGAGCTAGATACTGAAAGAGGAACAATAGAAATATTAAAAGAAGAAATTAAAAATAAAGAAGTGTTAATAGTAAAATCAGGAGAAGAATGGGCTGAAACAGCATTTAAAGTAAGGGCGTTTTCACCAGAAATAATATTTATAAGTTTCCATTGTGAAATTTGTAATTTTAATCCTAATGTTGATACTCGAATTAAAAAGGTTGCAAAAGAAATAATGAAAATGACAAAAACTGATGATGCTGTTGCACCTCCATGTCAAATAGTTACATTATTCCAACATGGAATAGTTCAAGATGTGAATTATGAAAAATATCGTTCCGCAATCAAATTGTTTATTGGAACATTAAATAATGATTTTTAAGCTGTCTAAAAGAAGAGTTAGACAGATTTGTATTCTTTTAAAGACATTTTTAACCCAAATTATTTGGTTCTATGTTGAATGGAATATAAAAAGCTTTTTATTGAATTTTTTATGTTTATAACACAAACAAAGAGAAAAGAACAAATAAATTCATTGGAACTTATACCCACATCCAGCACAAAAGCGAACTTCAGAGTCTTTTCTTAATTCTCCACATTCAGGACAAACGTCAGCAACCTTTCTATATTCTGCATTTATTCTATCTGCATCTGACTGTCTTTTCTTTTTATAATATTGATTAAAACAAATATTATGCCAGTCTTTTCCTTCTGCTTGTTTTCGTTCAGCAAAATATACTGATTTTCCTTATCGTAAATATCTTATTATAACTTTATTAATTAACCCATAAAATAATTTAATTAACAAACCACATAAAGCACACTTCCAAGACATTATCTTTTTAAGTTCAAAAAAAATATCTTCAATTGATTGGACATTTTTATAGGTTAATAAAAACTATTTTTATATTATTCCCATTTCTTTGTTGTCGGTTGATTCTCCTCTTATTTTCTTATGACTTTTTATGAAACTAAAATGACTTCTTCATTAAAAAATGAATTTAACTTTCAATACTTGAAACTTAATACCAATGGTTTTTCTACTTCTCTCATAGCCTCTTCACCCTTTAATTGTCTAATAATTTCTAATGAAAATTCAATGGCTGAACCTGGAGCTTGACTTGTAATTAAATGGTTATCAACAACTACACGTTGATGAACTGCTGATTGGTTAGCAAGTTTTGGTTGGAATGATGGATAGGCAGTACACTTTCTTCCTTCACTATAAAATGAATATTAAAATAAATCATAGCTTCATAAACAGAAAATATGATAACAAACATTATTCCGTTTCCTTCTAAAACAATAGCTGGTGATGCACAAATAGCAGCAACAAATCTATTAGCTGCAAGTTGTTCTTTTATCTTTTGAATTAGTAATTGAGAACCAGCTAAATTATCAGCACCTGGTAACCCACCTGGAATGGCAATAACATCATATTGTTCATTGCATTCAGAAAGAAATTTGTCAGCCATTATTTTCACCCCACGAGAACAAGCAGTTTCTAAATTAGAATTTATAGTAGCTGTAGTAACTTGAATTTTAGCTCTGGCAAGAATGTCGATAATGGTTACAGCTTCTAATTCTTCACTTCCATTAGCAATTACAACTAATGCTTTCATTGAAATAAATCTTTTAGTTCAAACAATATTTTAAATAACAAAAAACTAAGATAAACTAACCAAAAAATTGTTATGAATTAGCAAAATTAAATTTAGATTTTTTTTAATTAAAGAAATAAGTCAGTGAATAGTCTATATATGATAATAAAAGTGTAACTGTAGTAACACTGAAGAAAGATGAAAGGTTGTGTGATTCTACTAATGAGTAAGAAAGGTAAAGGGTACAAACTAAAGAAATGAAATAAAAAGAAAGACTTGTTTTTATAGGATTCTAAGTTATTAATCTCTAATCATTCAAACAAAGTCACAAATAAAAAAAACAAACATCAGACTTAATATGAGTTTTAAGAATAAGGTCTAATTGTATGAAAATTACTATAGATAGTATATACATTAATACTACTGTATAATAATTTGTAAAGAAGAATTGTATTGGAAAGATAACAACTAATTGAATGATTAAATGTCGTGAAAATGAAAATAAAAGACTTGCAAAAACTAAAAGAATCCACGTTATACTATTAGCATGAGTTGAATGAATATTAGGATAATTAATATGTGAAGAGTTATCCATTAAGAAATAATAAAAGAGTGTACCATTTATGAAATTAAAAACACAAAGTTGCATTATAATGAATAAAATATGAGTTAAGACAGAAAAAGATTGCATAGATTCTGGTGTTAGTATATCTCGAGTTAAATGACAAATTAATATAATAAGTTGTAATAACAATAAATATAATGTTGTTTTTGATGGTGTTGCATGAGTTTTTATACACGAACAATATAACCATGAAAATAATGGTGAAAATACTAAGAAAAATGTAATAATTCCAAAACTATTATTATTAAATGTTGCTTCATTACAAAAAGAAAATAATATAAAGAATATCCCAAGGGTTAAGAGAATTGATGAGCCATTAATTAACATAGCAAGTTGGAATGAATTTAATGGTTGTGTAATATTAATGTTTTGTGGTGAAAACTTATTAATGAAAGATAAAATAAGAATAATAACAAAAATGGCGATAGACCTTATCAATAAAGTTGTGACAAATGAAGAATTATAAATGAATTGATAAGGCACTTCTTTGTCGCTGATTTGTAAATAAGAATAATAATATTGTGGTATTATATCTTTGTTTTTTTCTAATACATAACGTTGTTTACCATTTTGATTACTAATAGAATATGGAGTAATTAATACATCATTAATTTGATATCTATCAGAGAATATATCAAGATGAAATTCATTGTTAAGATAATAAATGGAATTCTCTTTATATCCTAAAGGTATACCAAGAACATTAGTATTACTACCTAGTCTTATCATAGAAGTTACTGGCTTACCTCCAACATTAAAGTACAACCAAGTGTCATCATCAATTAGTTGTATTAAAGTGGAACTATTAATACTTTTGCATTTATCTTTTAAATTTAATGGACGAACATTAATAGATTTACCAAGTGTAACGATAAAAGTTTCTTCTAACTGAATGCAAGGAATTACCTCTTCAATACTATATTTGGTTTTTGTCTTAAAAGAATATGCGTCAATAAATTTAACTTTTATTTCATCAAATATTGGTAATGAGGTTATTTGGTATGAGAAAAGAAATAAAAATAATAACATCGAAGATAATACCATCTTCTGACTTTTTTCAGTTTTTATCTTTTATTAAAAAAATAAAGAAAAATGAACCATTTTCACAAATAAAATTGACACTCAATCACATTAAAAATCTTCTTCATCAAAATAACCATCATAAAACTGATGAATAATATCAGATGCAATCTTTTGTATTGATTGGGACAATGAAAATTCATCGAACGACAAATTATTAATCAAATTTACAGCATCTACTTCTTCAAATGAAACAGCAATTTCATTTTGTCCCTCATCATTAATCATTTCTTCACCTAATACCAACAACCTTCTTATGCCTATCAACAAGTTTTCAACGAATTGTTCTCGATTTGTTAATTCAATTACAAGCAATTGTGAAATAAAATTATAAATTCCTTCTGTTTGAGAAATATAAGTTAATCCCATACTATCAACTTTTTCTAAAGCATTTATTAATACCCATCCACACTCAATTTTTAAAGGTGTAGACACAGTTGTGGCTCCTTCAAAAATAACTGAACGAAGTAATCCATTTGAGCAAACCATATTTGCAACATTTATCGTAGCACAAAATACCAAATTGGATAAAGCCCATAACGCTGATCTTATTATTTCATTATCACGTTGATCTAAAACATTTGCAATAATACTAAGAACATCATTTTCTATTAAAGACTGAATAAGAACATCAGATATAGAAGCAATAGAACCAATACATGAAATAGCAGCCAGACAAATATTATCATTTATTGACCTAGAATATCGAATGACAACTGGAATTAAGTTAGTAGCATAACGATAACAATTATCATTATTTTCACATAAAGAAACAAAACCTGTCATTGCTTGTAATACTAAATCAGGATTGTCTTGATTGGAAATATTAAATAAATAATTTATAAATGGTTCTAATTGTTGTTCTGGAATTGATGGTTTAAACCTACAAAAATTACTAAATAACCATGCTATCTTTGATAAAATTTCTGGATCACTAACAGTTGGTACCATTGAAAGAATAAGTTTACCTGAATTTTCAAATATTATATTTCTAGTATCAACAGTTTCCGATGAAATATTACAATAAGTCCATATAATGTCAAGTTGTAATTCAGGTTGATTTAATAGTGGTAGAGTTGCTTCAATTATTCCATTAAATAATAATGCATTTACATGATGTCTTTCACAAGAAGAACAATTAATCACAACAAAAAGAATATCTTTCTTAGAATTAATAGGAATATTTGTTTTAAGTAATTCTATCATCTTTCTCATAACTCCATTATTAATAAGTAAATCATAATAATGTGACTCAGCAGCTTCACTTCGTTTTCCAAGAGCATTGCAAATTTTATGTAACATGTGAAGAGTAGAAATAGTTGATGATTGATTATTTTGTTGTAATAATGTCATAGCAACATCAATATCATTATCATTAAGTCCTATAACTTGTAGTAATGAGTTATTATCATCTAATATTCTTTTCTTTTTTAACATTTCATCTCTCTTTTTTTCTCTTAGTCCATTAAGTCGTTGACTTCTTAAAGTACAAGCATCATTGATATTTTGTTCATTCTTTCTAAACATTAGAATAATTAATTAAAAAAAATTGAACTTATTAAAGGATAAAACCCTATTTTGTTTTTTATGTTATTTTTTTGTTTTTCTGGAATTTTTGGGTTATAATAAAATTCATCATTTTTTATTTCGTTTAAATTATTTTATAATAAATTTAATAATTCTTTTCTTTTTAATTTAAAGAACTAAATATTAATTTAAATACAAATCTTATCATGGCTGGAAAGTATGTTAATTTTTATTTTTATATTAGTTGTTAAGTTCTATTATTATTTATTTATATTAACTATCAGTGGTTAACATATAGGAAAGGAAAGTCATTATCAACACAACCAGGAATGTTTGGTGTAGGAACTGCTGCAGGAATTCCAGTGTTTGTTAATTTTTAATATTGAATAATTATGATAATGTTAATTATTTAGAACACCATATTTTGTTATGATCCTTTCAATTGGACTTATTGCTGTCGTTATAGTTGGACATATTGTTGCACATATGTTTGGAGGAAGTTCCAATCCAACAATGAATTAACTTTCGATTGCCTTTTTAATTCAATTCTAAAAAATATTTGTTTTGTTTATTAAAAAAATTGTTTTACTTAGAAATAACAAAATTGTTTTTTATCATTAAATTATTGTGGAGCATACATTTTAATTGTTTTATCTACACATCCTGTAAAAAATCTTAATCCTGTTTGATCAAAAGTACTACATAATATTCCTTTTTCTCCTTCTAATGAACCAGGTTGGGGAATATTGTGTAATGTTTGTGTTATTGTGTTTAAATTAAAAACTGTTATTACACCATTGTTTGATGAGGAAATAATTGTTCCATCTTGATTACGTTTAATTGTATTAATAATATCATTTGGCTTATAGAGATTTTCAACAAACTCTCCTTTATCCCATAATTTAATTGAATCAAAACTTGCACTAACCATATTTTCTTTATCCCAAACCTCTACACAACGAACTCCTTTTGTGTGTTGAGTTAATGTTTTCATACATTTACCTGCAATAATATCCCACATCTTTATTGTACTATCTGCAGATGAACTAATAAGATGTGGTGATTCTTCTCTCATCTTTAAGTCATAAATTGTTGATGTATGTCCTTCCGGGACATCAACAGAGTGGCTAGTCCTCATATCCCACAGTCCTACAACTGGATCTCATCCCCCTGACCCTATAACGTCTATTGTTGGGTGTAAGTCAACAACCTCAACTCCAGATAAATGACCATGAAAATGTTTGACAACTTTATTTGATTCTAAATCCCAACATTTAATTGTTTTATCATCACCAGCAGAAAATAAGTATGGGTGTCTTGGTGAAACTTTCAATGATTTCACAGCTCCAATATGCCCTGTTAATGTCAATCGTTGTTCACCTCGGATCATTCCAAATATTTTGATAGTTTCATCATGTGAACCTGTACAAAACCATTGATTCGATGGGTCAAAGCAAATTGAAGAAACCCAACCTTTATGACTACAAATTACTCGTTTTAGTTTCCATTGAATCACATCCGTTGTTTTCTGTTCATTGCTTTCTTTCTTAACTAACATCAATTCTCTGAACAAGATAGATTTTTGTTTTTAATTTTTAACGAAAATTTGTTATTTATTATAGTATGTCGCTACTATTTTTATGTCATTCACTTATTGATAAATTTGACTAATAATACCTATCGAGTTGATTTATATTTCCACTTAAAATAATAAAACAGAAGAAAGAGAGTAGAGAGATTGTAAATGTCATTTTATTTTAATGTTTATTTTGCATGGAGTGAAAAAGATAATAATAACTTAAATTTTTAAGAATAAGTGTTGTTTATATAAATTAAAATAGAGGTATTGATAAGGAAGAGGTATGGAAATGAAGTAAAAACAGAATAAGTTAAAGATCAATAACATAAATTATCAAAGTACAGACATAAAATATTGATTATATTTCTTAAAGATTAGTATTTTATTTATAAAAACCATATTTTTGATATTCATTATGTATGAATGAGTTGAGATAAATGAAAATAATTTATTTCATATTGATTTTATAATAATAAAACTATGGAGTATATTGTAATTCAAGATGACACTCAATAAGTTATAAATAATATTTTTCAATGAAATATTAAGTATAGATATATGATATTGAATCATTTATAAATTTATATTCTTCATTTTTCTTTTATTCTTATTTAATGAATATTCAAATGAATATTGTATGTTTCAATGACAAGTTTACCGAGATTCTCTGTCTTATTAACAAGGATATAATTAATTTAAAGTTTATTTCTTTCAATAATGCTAAACAAAAAATGTAATAATTCCATTTAGTATTTCATTAACTAAATCTTTTAATTTTAACACAAATAAATTATATTGTTGTGTTTGTAATATTTTCTTTGTTGGTCATGATAAATAAGAGTCTTTTTGGTTATTAACTAAAATATTTTATCATTTATATGAGTATTAGATTATTTTATTTCTTAATTCCTTTCTGACGATGAATTTAGAATAACAATAACGAATTATATATATTTATATTAATCATATATTATAGACAATAAAGTTAGATAATTCTAGCAAAAGAAAGAGTATTGTTCTCTAATAATTAAATTTTAAAAACTTGTCTTTATTTTTGCTAATCTCTTATAACAAATGTTATTATTATAATGTGATGTCTTGTTGAATGATTTAAAGTTTAAACATGCTTATGAACAATTTATTTTAATTTCATAGATTCAAGAACAGAAGATGATAAAATAATATAAAAGAGTAAAAGTTTTTTCTTTCAAAGTTATTTTCTTTTCTTTATAATACAATTAAATTCCATTTTTAATGTTTAGGATGAACCTCTTTTTTGTGATATGATATGGTTAAAATGACATAACTTCTATTTTATAAAAGAAGATAAAATGGTTAATACTCAATATTTCAATGAAATTCCTAAATAAATGTTTTTTGGATATGTTATTTTTATTTCATTTCATTTATTCTTATGAACAAAGTGATAGATATTTCATATATTATAATAGAATTTAATTTTTTTTTTGATTAAAGACAAATAATTCTGTAATTTCTCTGATAGATTTAAGAAAGAATTACAGAGTAATAAAACAAGACAGAATGTTAGACTTTCATCAAAAAATAATAATTTTAACTTAAAAAAAAATAGTAAACAATCAATAAAATTTTAGGTTTGAGAAGAATGCTCTTTTAATTTACTTTTGTTAATGAATGTTTTATAGACGTTTGTTTGTTGTATTTGTTATGTAAATATTTCAAATCCAACAGAAAACAAGATTCAAAAAAGAACTATAAAAAAGAATTTAATGATTTGTGTGTTGTTTCTAATCTATTTAAGTTATGGTGAAGTCATCAGTGGTACTCCTGAAACATTCACTCAACTGACAAAAAACATGTCATTTGTTAAATTCTATGCTCCATGGTGTAGTCATTGTATTGCATTACAACCAGTGTTTGAGGCATTGGCTGATGAATATAAAAGTAAGATGAATTTTATTGAAATAAACTGTGTAAAATATGAAGAGTTTTGTCTTGACAAAGGGATTAGAAGTTTTCCAGAATTGAGAATGTACGAAAATGGGATAAAAATTTCAGAATATGAAGGTCCTAGAGATTTGACCAATTTAGGGAGATTTATTCGTGGAGAAAAAATCGGAAAGCCAGAAAGTCGTGTTTTAGAATTAACGGCAAGTAATTTCAGTGCTGTTGTTGATGATGAAACGAAAAATGTCGTTGTAAAGTTTTATGTTCCTTGGTGTAACATCTGCAAGAGTATTCAATCCAAATACGAAAGATTGATTGATATATATAAAAATGAAAAAGATGTTATCATAGCACAAATGGATTGTTCTGAACAACAAAACAAAGTCATATGTTCTGGTAAGTTTGGAATTCATGGATATCCAACAATTACATTCTTCCCAAAAGACTTTAAATATGGAAAAGATTTTATGTATGAACATGAAGTTCATGTTTATGTCAACCGAATAAATAAAGAATTTAATTATTTCCGTATGGAGAATGGACAATTAAATAAATATGCAGGAAGAATTCCTAAAATTGATAAGTTATTGCAACAAATATCAAATACTACTCAATTAAAAGAAGTGAAAGAGAAAATAAAACAATTAGATATACATAACAATTATATGCCAATCCTTTCAAAAATATTAACAGAAGGAAAAGGTTTTGTTCATGAGAGGATTGAATCTCTTAAAAATAAAATCCAAGCAACAACTGGTGAAGAACAAGATAAGGCAATCATAGAATATAATGTTTTAGAACAATTCAAATGACTGAAAATAAATTTTTTTGGGTTGGTTTAATTTTTTATCAAAGAGAAACTTTTAAGATTTAAAACAGAAAAAGATGAACAAATCACAACAAATTGAAGAAGTTATTCAACAAAATAATACAGAAAAACTTCAAGAAATATTAAATCAATTACTTATTGATGTTAAAGACAGAAAAAAATCACAAATACTTTGTCAAGAAAATATTCAACAAACTCTTGTTCATCATATTACTGAATTTAAAACAAGAAATTTAGAACTATTAGTAATTGATATTATTTACAATCTTGTTAAACGTCCTAGTCTTGGACGTTATTTTACTCCTGAAGTTTCACATGAAATAATCTCAGCATCTTTATACACTACAAATTTTGATATTCTAAGATCTCTCACTAGAACACCTGAACAATGTGAAGTTATTTCTGATCTTATTCCACAAGTTATTGACCATATTCATAATGTCTCATTACTTGAAAATACATTTGTATGTTATTCTATTGCTAATTTATCAAAGAAATATGCAGATCAATTTATTTCTGTGTTTATTGATGGTGTTAATACATTATGTACATCTGATATTTCAACAATAAAAGAAGAAAATTTGTTTGCTCTTGGAGAAGCTTTTACTTCATTATCTCAACATTTTACAAATAAAATCAAAATTGCTTCTCAGGTTGATGAAAAATTAGTTTCATTAAAGAATAAATACAAATCAAATGCTGTTTTGTGTAATATAATAAGAGATATAATCCAATTTCTAACAAAATAACATTTAAGTAACTTGAAATTAAATTTATTCTTGCTTTGGTTTAGCACAAATATTTTCATTAGAACTTTTTGTTTCTAGATATTGGTGAATTGCTTCTTGTTGAGCTAATTGTTCAATACATGAAATTATAAAATAAATAATGACTAAACTAATCATTCCATTCCAAAGATAACTAAGCAATGGCTTAGGTTTTTCAACATCAACATTGGTGAATTGTTCTGCAGCTTGATCAAGAAGGTCATTAACAATAACAGCTAATTTAACACTAATATGTTTCAAAAAAGAGACAAATAAATCAAGATGTTCTCTACTAAATATTGTGATAAAGAAGATTGCTTGAAGATTAACTTTAATAAACGCCTTCCCAATAATTGTCCCTCCAAGAAATGTTTGGAGTGGAATTAAATTATAACCACAACACATTCCACATAAGTCAAATGCTGCATTTGGCCATGCTGAAAGTGCAACAATAGCCCACACACCATATTTATTGACCATATCAATCATTATTAATTGCATCCATTGAATACTTTTAGAAATGATGTTTGTTGGTTTTTCTTCTTTTAAATTTAATAATTCTCTATTTTCTTTTCCTGCCATAGCACTTGTATACGCTAAGAAATATGGTGGAATTTCACCAAACGCTGTTCCTACACCCCAAATAAAACATGGTAAAAATACTCGAATAAATATTTGAACAAATGATGGATTTGTTTGTGTTTCATCAACAACTGATAAACACTTGAAACTATTTGAATTAAACCAAATATCACTGTATGATGTAAAATTCATTGAATGACATGCAGATGCAGCTAAACATACATTGAGAATATGTGGGAAAAGGAATAATAATCCAGTATGCATACCTGTTCCTAAACCTACAGAAGAAAGTACACCTAATCCAAACCACCAAAGAATATACTTAATTATGAAATTTGTTGTGAATAAATATGAATGTAAGAATGGTGGTGCAAAAATTGAGAGTATTATATGAAGAATTAAAACTGATAAAATAATAAGAATTGGAGTTGAATGAATAATATAATTATATAACTCCTTTATTTGACGAAGAACATAATAACAGAAAAATTTTAATGTATCAATAGGATGAGAAAATAATTTTAATGAAACTGCTGATTCAAGACTCATATAGATATTATTTTAAGATTGATTAACATGAAGAAGGAAAAAAAAAACAAAAGGAAAAATTTAAAAAAGAAAAGAACAAAAAAACTTTCAGTTCACAGTCAAATGGTTTGACTTATTAATTTCTTGTAAATATACTAATTCTCATTGAATATAGGGAAACGAAATTGTTAAAACATTAGGAAAAGACACTGTGAAAAAACTTAAACAAATGGGAGTATTAACTAGTAAAGGAGAATTTGAAAAACAAGTTGATCAAATTCCACCTATCAAAAGACTATGGGATCCGGAAACTGGAAATAAAGAACTTGTTTTACCTAAAGGAACACTTTATGAATTATTTTGTAGTTATTGTCTACCATTTCTCTTTTATAAGCAAACAATACTTGTTAACAGAGTTTGTTTTATTTCCTAGACACTGTTATTTAATAAAACATAAACAATCTAATATCATAGGATTTATTAATGAAACACACTGATATGGTTGCAACCAAACTTGAGATGATTCAATCATCAATGCCAAAAGCAGTTGATACAATGCGTAAATTACATGTTGAAATGCCAAAACAATTACAACTCACAATGAGCTCAGTTGAAACACTTAAGAAAAGAGTTGAGATAATGAAAGAAAATATAAGTAAACTTGAACAATTTAATGAAAAATTACTCAAGATAATTGATCCACCAAGCACAACGTCATCACTATCACTTATGTAATTGATGTTTTCAAAAAGTAATTTATCCCTATTTCTTTCTGAATAATTCTGTCTTCACTAAAAATACTTTAATCTCTTTAACCCTTTCATTTCAAAATGACAAAGAATAACATTATCTTATTAATTTTTATTATCTTATTCACAAATGCAGAAAAAAGACAAATAACAACCGTTCAAACACCATTAACATTAAACCAACCATATAAAGGAATATGGGTAAAACCAGATGAAGTAAGTCTAAATTCAACATTAAAAAGTCTTTCTTTTTTAACAGAACCAGTTGGGACATTTTATTTAACTTCACTGATTGCTATAGAGAAAGACTCAAAAATAAGAATAAATGGAAAGATGTTTATTAGAAATGGATTTTATATGGACAAAGAGATACAAACTCTTAATTTAACTTGTATTGACTTAATATGTCAACTTGAAGGAATTGAAATGACAATAGATATGAAGGATGGATTATTATATGGAATTGTATCAGATGAACAACTCAAATTTATTGGGAAAACTTTTTTTGGAAAACAGTCAAATCTTATTACAGAAACTTATATTATTCTTTCAATTCTTTTATTTATTATTTCTTTTAATCAAATGAGAAAAGTGAGTATTGATGGAATTGCATTACATATCTTGACTATGGGAGATGCTTATTGTGCTTTACTCCATACAACAGCAACATTTGTCTTTCATCCAAGTTCATCATTATTTTATGGATTTGGAATTATTAGTATTCTTTCAATTTGTCAAGTTGCTGTTATGGGAAGTAAATATTTAGGAAGATATGGTGCTATTGGACAAATTTATATGACTTGTAATTTGTTAGTTGGATTTTTCTTAGCTGAATATTGGAAATTTGGTTTTATTATCATTATATGTTCCCCATGGCTTTTCAATGATAAGAAAACAAATAAGACTAGATTAATCACATTATGTTTAAAGGGATTTATGATGTCATATTGGGTTGGATATTCTGATAATCCAATCAATATTCAAAATGATTGGAGTTGTTTATTTGTTCTTTGGCTCTCTATTGCAATTCAATTTAAAATTAATAACAATCATCATCATTTAGTATTTAATGAAAATAAAACTACAATTAAAAGTAAATTACCATGTGATTGTCCAATTTGTTTATGTTTAATTGAAGACTCTAATGATGTTCTCTTAACAAAATGTAGTCATATCTTTCATAAAGAATGTATTCAAATGTGGTTAAAAGAACATGATGATTGTCCTTATTGTAGAACAACATTATTATTAAATTAAAACTGTGAATAAATTAAAATTGCAATTAAATTATGTATTATTTTTTGTTATACAATATGTGTTAAATATGATAATGAAAAAAGTCCATCCTATAATCATCGAAAGTTTATGCACACTTTTGAATCCAATATTGTAATGTACTTGGAGATAATTCTCCAAATTCAGTGGGATAGTTTAACTGTAAAAAACGGGTTGCTTTAGTTAATCCAATTTCTTTAGCTTTAGTTACAGCAACTCTTTTTAATTCATTATTCCATTTTTTCTTTAATCGAGATACTCTTGGAATTGGTATTGTTGATTTTTTAAAATCCATAGGACTAGGACTTTGGATAACAACAGTCTTAGACATTGGACTTGGACAAACAGTTAAATTTAAATTAGTAGACTTTCCATAGACAATAGAATACATTTCTTTCCTACATGGTTTAAACACTGAAATAGACATAATAACTTGATTTTTAAGATTGAGTATATGTATTTATAGAGAAGTTTATTAGACGGAAAATGATCTGATTTTTGTCTTTCCTCTTCTAGTTCTTCTTACAAAAAAATTCATACAAAAATACTATATTGTCTAACATTTTTTATTATTATTTATTCGTTGGAAGCTTTTATTACGAATTTTTCATTTTTATTAAATTTGTATATTCTTAAATGAAGTTCGTAAAAATTCGTTTCAGCTCATTCTTCGTTTTTTTTTTGACTTTCTTTTTGTTTCTTATTATTGCTTCTCAACCTCAATTACTGTTTTTATTATTTTTTTCTTATTAAAACAACGAAACTTTGAAAACTTCCTCAATTCTTTAAAGACCTTTGGACTTTTCTTTGTATCTAAAATCAGTCTAAATGGTGATTTATTTTCTTTATTCAAAAAGTCACTTCAATCCCTCAAAGCTCTTCACTTGCCTTTTATCTTTCTCTGATTGAAAACTATTCTTTCTTTATTTCTTAATACTTTTATCTATCAATCCTCCCACTACAGTTTGTCATTGAAAAACAAAACGAAATTTGATAAGATTGTGAAATGTGAAACTAAGACAAACCTCTCTTAAAGCAAATTAACCATAACCAATATCAGAATTGTGCATACCATAGATGCACTGTTATTTACCTTCATTTTGTTTCTTTCCTTTGGCTGCTCTTGTAGTGGTTTGTTATTATTCTTTATCTTTTCTTAACCACTTATTGTTTAGATCACAGGAATAATATATGCTTTATTATTTGGTAGAATGACTGGATTTTATTCTGTTGCTGTTGGAATGTTATTTGTTATTTCAGGTTTTTTTGGATTATTTGCTTCTGGATGGAGGTCTTACGTTTCTTCACTATTTGTTTGTTTTTATTTCTTATTATCATTTTGTTCCATTTCTCATCAATTAGTTTGCCGTTTCTCTTGCTCTTTCATGTACAATTGCAGTTGCCGTCAATGGAGGTGGACTTATTCTTCCCCAATACTTTTTTTTGTTAGACTCAGACCAAGATGCTTTAAAAATTGGTGGATTAACACTAAATCCAAACAATTATTGGTTTGGAATTGGTTTATTTTATTTAACATTGGTATATATTCCATTATTAAGTTTCGCTGTTTGTAATGCTTGTACTATTGGTAAAGTGATTGAACGAGCTAAAAAAAGAAAACGTCGTGAAGAAGAAAAGAAGAAACGAAAAGATGGTTTCTTTATGTACAGGGGAAATACTCTGAAAAACAGAATTCGCCCAGAGGATTTTGGTAGAATAAGGGCTGAATTAAATAAGTCTGTTCATACTTCATTACCACCCTCTTCTCCAGTCAAAGAAGTCAAAATAGTTGTTGAGCCATAAATAGTCTTTATTTTTTTATTGTTTCATTCCAAAATAATATTAAATTTCATTTAAATAAAGTTATGTTTAGGTTTGTTCTTATTAACTTTTTGAATGACAATTTCAGAAGAAAAAATTATCTCTGTCAAATTATTTTTTACAACCTTTCTTATTATTGTTCAAGAATAATATAAAATAATGAAGGTTAATATAAATAAGAAACTTCTAACGAAAGGTTTTCTCTAAAGTATTTATAGAAGGAGATGTTTTTTTATACTTCAAGTATGATATTTAATGATGCAGAAAGATTTTTATTTTATCTTTATGAATATTCAATTAGTGATGTTTATGATTTTTTAGTTATGCTTTTTGTCTTTTGTTGAGTCATTATTTAGAGTAAATTGTTTAGGAAGAAGATTCATGTAGAGTTATTCAGTTGTAATGTTAGACTATTTGACATATGTTAGATTTGATTTTTTGGTAGTTTTAAGTTGTTTATTGGGTTTGATTTTAGCAGAGTTTTAATTATTTTCTACGATATATTTAAAACTTTATAATTATCAATTGAAATACAAAAAAGACAACAGGAGGAATTTTTTTAGGTAGATAAGTGGTTCAATGTCATATAGAGAATGAAAAATAAAAGAATAATGATGGAAATTGTTTCAGTAATAATTAGTTTTTGGAAGTCTTATGAAGATTAAAAAGAATATAGTAAAACTGTACTTAGAGAACAAGAAAAGGTATTAACGTAATTATGATGAACTAAATTTCTATTTTATATTGCATAAGAACATAACTAATTATTGAATAATTAGATAATAAAGTATGGCGTGTTGGTATTGAGAGATAGCATAAAACAGTACCAACAATTTAATTTCTTTTTTTTATTTAATATATAAACAGACATTTCAAAGTTAAAGATTCACACTCAAATTTCATTTTCTTAAATTTGAGTAATAAGAAGAAATAAACTAGAATAACTAAACCAAGCAAACACGAAATAGTTTCACGATTACATTATACCACCGAAATTTAGATTTTGTTCAAACCTCATAACATAGTTATATCTTTTTCCTATTGGTTTTGAGTCAAAAGGGTTATAAGTATCTTCTAATGAATATTCGTTTTCAATTTCTTCATCCCCAAATAAAAAGTCTTCCATTACTTCGTAGTCAAGAAAGTCATCAAGTTCATTAATTTCTTCTTCAGCTACAATATTTTGAAGGAATAATAACAACACGAATAATAAAAACATTATAAATTTTTAGATTTTAATATTTGTTTTTAAAATTTTTTGAATATTCCGTTTATAATAGAATAGAAGATTGTTGTCTTACAAAATACTCAATGATAAGAGAAAATACAATACTTAGAAAAGATAACTAGAAAAAAAACCAATGTAAATAAACAAATTAATAAACTAAAACAAGCCATTTGATTTTTATGTGTAAATACAATTCCAGAGAATTACACTTAAATAAAGATTTGCAGAATAAGTAAATCAAGACATATTAATCAAAATTCAATACAATAACTCCAAAATTAATATAAAATAATGACTAATTACTTATACAACATTACTTCTTAATTAAATTTTTATATTTATTTTGAACCATTTACTTATGAACCTTCAAGCATATGTAAGTTTCATCACCTTAAAGTTAAAGCGGTTACTGAAAGAATAAACACGTTAGATAGTCTTCTTTACTCAAATAAGACGAAAAGAATCTTCTACTTAAAACCTGTGATGATGTTACTTTATAAAAAAATCAAAAATATTCTTCTTATTTTTGAAAATTGTTGGGTAATTCATATATTTTCAAAAGTTAGTGAATTTAATAGTTTATTGTTTTAATAAAATATAAAATGAAATTTTTATGTGATATAAAACATAATATATTAGAAAAATTAAGAAAAGTATATTGATACAAATTTGTTTTTATAAAAAAATAGATTAAAAAAGTCTTTTTTTCTATAAATAATAGCCAATCAATGAATTTTAAGTTCTAAATTATTTACTGAGAATTTTTATTTATTAAAAATTCACTTTCAGAGATGTAAGATTTCGGGAAACTTTCGCAGAGAAACATTTTTATTTACGGTTTGTAAATTAATAATGAAAATAACAATAAAAAATTAAAAAATAATTTACACGTAGATACTTAATGACGAACTAAGAATTTGGAAATCATATTATAATGAAATTCATTTTAGTTGCACTTTTGTGTTTGGCTTTTGTAAGTGCTGTGGAACTTGAAGACGATTATCAACTAGATAATGAATTTGAAATAGAAGAAGAAAATCTTGATAATAATGAAGATGAGTATGAATTAGAAGACGAAGATGATAATGAAGAAGAAGACGAAGAAGAAGATGATGAATTAGAAGAAGACGATGATGATGATGATGAGTATGAATTAGAAGAAGAAGATGAAGAAGAAGATGATGATGAAGATGAAGAAGAAGATGATGATGAAGATGATGATGAAGATGATGATGAAGATGATGATGAAGATGATGATGAAGATGATGATGAAGATGATGATGAAGACGATGATGAAGACGATGATGAAGACGATGATGAAGACGATGATGAAGACGATGATGAAGACGATGATGAAGACGATGATGAAGACGATGATGATGAAGATGAAGATGAAGACGATGATGATGAAGACGATGATGAAGACGATGATGATGAAGATGAAGACGATGATGATGAAGACGATGATGATGAAGACGATGATGATGATGATGA